ATGGGAAGCTGATGTGAAGAAAAAAGTCAGAATATGACTGGCTCACAATGTGGTCTTCTACTGCTACTACAGGCACCATCAATATTAATACTCTAAAGTCAGCATACAAAGATCTTACCAAATGCTACCGAGTGCATGCCAGACTCGCTCACTTATTTCCCAGACATGAGGGACTTGGCTTTCCTGATTGCCAGGTGCCTAGGGATGTCCACCACACTTGGAGGACATGCCACATGCTGGGAGATTTTTGAAGTTCACACTTTTACACAGGTTGTTTGAGACCTGCCTCCCTAGAGATCCTTGGTTTGCTTTATTACATTTTAAGTCATTGGCCTTACTAAACAGCAAATTAAGTTATCACATTACGTCTTCCTAGTATCCAAATTGAAAACTGCCAGGGCATGGAAGAAGCAATTCGCTTGAATCTAGTTTGGATGAAGTTTTTTTTCTTATAAATCAACAGTTCACAAGTATACTTCTCAACACCCATGCCAAATTTCTCAAGACCTTGGATCCGTGAATCACATACCATCACCCTACTCTTGTGGCATGACAGCTACTTACCTGTGAGTAGCCTGAGAGATGGCCAGGAATCTCTTGCGCCCTGCAGTCTTCCCTCCCTTCCCCCCTGCATCTTTTCCTATAGTCCTGACGCTCTTGCTCCTTCATCTACTTTTCCTCCTCTCTGCTTTTTTTCCTCACTCCTTTTCTTTGATATTGACCGCCGACTAATTTTAAGTCGACACCACTTCATTGACTATTCTAAATTCTCCATTTCTCCCATTATGGTGAATTTGGCTATACAATCTTGATCTATGAATTCTTGTATCTTGGTTTCCTGGTTCTTCTACTGCATATTTTTATATTTGCCTGATTGCATCTTTTGTGGCAACTTGGGGCTGTGACCCCTTGTTGTGTTCCATGCTGTTTGTTATTTGTTTACCTCCAAAACAGTAAAAATATTGAAATGAATAACCTATTTATCTGATGAAAAATTCAGTACTGTGACAAGTATTTCATAACTTTCTGGTAAACCACTAAGTATTAGTGCTGCGACATGAAAATCTTTTATTTATTCTTCTATACCTCTCAGGTGTTCAACCATTTCCAAGGTGTGCCTTATGCAATTCTGCATATCCTGGGTTTTCATCAGCTTGGTTTGGAATGGGTTTCTAATTAAATACAGTTTATTGCTGAGATTAGCTCATTCATTGACCTTCTGTAATCCCTCCCACATTTCTTTAGCAGTTTCACACTTACATATATGTATGATTTGATCATCTTCTATGCTAAGAGAGAATGTGCTCTGAGCTTTCTGATGTTTCTCTATTCACTCATCTGAAGGGTATTCTGGCCTGACATCATTTATATATTTCCATATACCTTCTCTTATTAGCAGCCTTTTCATCTTGAATTTCCAAGACTGGTAGATTCCAAGAATCTTGTCCTGCTCCACATCTGCTAATGAGAGTGACCCACCCTGGTGGTTGTACATGATACCTGTTACCTGGAGAGTGATCCCCCTGGTGGATGGCTGAGTGTTCCTGATCCCTGGAGATTGATGACCATATGATTACCTGTCTTTCAGTTGGTTGGCCAGTTGATCCTTGGATTTTCATTTTTCCATACCCAGAGGACCAGGAGTGGTTTAAGTACTCAAATGCGCATAAAATTGCGCTATCTGGTTAGTGCAGTGTTTCTCAACTCCAGTCCTCATGGACCCCAAACAGGTCATGTTTTCAGGATTTCCCTCAGATGAAACAGCTGTGGTAATTACTAAGGCAGTGAAACTGATCAAATCACCTGTGCAAAATAATGGAAATCCTGAAAACATGACCTGTTGGGGGTCCATGAGGACTGGAATTGAGAAACACTGGGTTAGTGCAATGTACACTCATTTTCACATCACTGGAGTCACGATTTTCATCTCTATATAGAGTTTGGGACTTATTCGTATTACTAAGTTCACTACCTGCACAGCTAACATCCGCAGACGTTCATTGCACTTTAATATAACTTTAGCGCTCTACAGAGCAAATTTGTCTGCTTATACTTTATGTGTTATTTGATTTTCAGCGCTGCATATATTTCTTAGATTTTATGAAGGTTTAGAGGTTTTGCCTTTATGTCAGCTGCTTTTCCCTGCACTACCTAGCGCTCGTATACCCATTGATATCGTTTGCACTGTATTCCAACAGTTTGCATTAAGTTTTTCTAGTCTTTTTAGAACACTGGCTTCTGTTAGCCACAAGGATACCCTCCTTGTTGTTTTGTTAACAGTACTACATCGTCTATTATGCCCCTCCTTTTATATAGCAAGAACTGAGGAGAAGAATGTATTTAACACAGTTGCCTTCTCTTTGTCACTTGTAACCAACTTCCCCTGACTATCCTTTATGGGGCCAATATCCTCTGATTTTCCTTTTTTTACTATTAATATATTGAAATAATGTTTTGGGATCCTTTTTACTCTTCTTCGCTATGTGCTTTAGATGGTCTATTTTTGCTGCCCTAAATTGACTCTTACTTTTCTTCCTGCATTCTTAGTAGTGCTGGAATGTTGACAGTGTCCCCCTGGCAGAGGCGTATTTACCACGAGGCAAACTAGGCGTTTGCCTTGGGCTGCGTTTGTCAGGGGGGGGAGCACCTGGAAGAAGAGACTCACGTGGCAGGTGACCAGGGCTGGCACCAGCATAAGGCTGCTTAGGCAGAACTTTGATCTGTGTAGACAAAATCCTTGCACCAGCTCTGAGAAGAAGAGAAGATCGGGGAGCACGGAGAGTCCACTTGGGGGGTGACAGGGCAGGCAGCCAGGTGAGGGGATAGAAGGGGTGATCATGTGATCAGAGACAGCTGACCACTCGGGAGCGGGAGAGCTCACACACTGTTATGGAATGATTGATGGAGTGTGGGAATTCCAGCACGCAAATGTCTGCATCTGCATCTGATCTCTCCCTGATACTTGACGTACACTTCCGCTGACAACCGCTTGCCCTTGTCTACCCAGCTGTCAATTGTCCTCCACTCCTCTCCCCCTGGGCAAGTGGTGATTTTTCCCCCATGGCTGCCCCATGCTCCAGACCCCATTCCACCTCTGCTGGCAGCGAAAGCACCAAGCACAGCTCCTATGAAAGCAAGAAGTTTAAGAAGAGTCTGCGGCTGGAGGAGTGGATCCTGAAGAAGCTCATTCTACTCTATGACTACCAGGTGAGGGTAACAATCATACACCTGGGAAAAGGGTGGCGGGAAGTGCTGAAAGAACACATCTGTCTGTCTGTGGCTCTGGGGAATGGGCGGCTGCTGTGTCTCTCTCTCTCTCCCCCCCCTTTTTTAATTGGGGGGCCCCCAATTTTTGTGTTGCCTAGGGCAGCACAAAAACAAAATACACCACTGCCCTCTGGCCTTTTATATTTTAAAGGACAGTTTTTTCTTTTTAATGTGCTTTTTATGCTCAAATGTAGCCACCTAGGATTACCCGTGGTTCTTTTATTATATTTGTTGCCTATTGGAATACACTTCCTAATGCTATTAGTAAAATGTTCTTAATACACGTTTATGTTGGTTTATGTTTCTAGAATGTCTTCCCATTTAATGGTATAAAGTATGGAGTGCAGTTTGGGAGAATTTGCTCTCTTGAAATGTAATGAACTTGTCCTACCCTCATGTCTGTGCAGTGAACATAATTGGCCTGTGATCAATGTTTCCTAAGTTATCCCTTACTTCACCATCCGTTATCAGCTCTGGGTTGTTTGTGATTAGTAGGTCAAGCAGAGTCTTGTTTCTAGTCGGGGAATTGACCAATTGACACATAAATTTGTCCTGCAAGACATTTAAAAAGTGCCGTGCCTTCGAGGAGTAAGCAGGTATATCTGCCCACTGCCAGTCAATATCTGGATTAATGTCCCACATGATCATAACATTGCCCTATCTTTCCATCATTTCTAACTGTGAGAGGAGATTGGCCGCCTCTTCACCTTCAGGATAGGGCGCCTGTAGCATACCCCTACTATTCATTTCCCTTATCTTTTCAAGGGATTCCTGGTCTTCTGTTACGAGGTGCAGAATTACTCTTCTTGCTTTCCCTTCTGAAGTATTAACCACTTCTGACTGGCCGTTGTATATATACGGCCAGACGGTGGCACTGCAGAGTCGGGTAGCCGTTTATAAACGGCCTCCCCGCACCATGCTTGTGCGCACTCCCTGGGAGCGTGCAGCGCTGTGATCCGGTGCCCGCTGTGTCCTCCAGACACAGTGAAACAGCGATCGTCAGACAGGACCTCTGTGCGAGGTCCCAATCATGTGATCACCGATTGGCCAATCAGTGATCACATGCAAAGTAGTAAGCAAGATGTCACTTGTGACATCATTGCTTACTAAGTGTGAAATCTGTGAATGATCACAGAGATCACACGATACAGGGCTATTCACAACAGCCTTGTACAATGTGACAAGCTGTGACCAATCACAGCTCACTCAATATTTCTCAATGACTGCAAGAATGCAGACAGAGAGAAAGAGAAATGATTGCTTTTACATCCTATATGGGTGTAAAAGCAATCAGTGTAAAAAAAAAAAAAAAAAAAACCTTCATCACCCCCCAAACGTAGTACAGTGTCACCATGGTGATAGTGTTCTGCTAGGGTGACAGTATGTACAAAAAAATAATAATAAATAAAATAAATAATAATATAAAAAAAAAAAAAAATGTAAAAAAAAATGTTTAAAAATTATAATTTTTGGTTATAAACTAATTTGGCTTATTTTTTTTTTACTAACAAGATAACGGAATAAATTGTGGCAGAGATTTTTGATGAAATATTATTTATTTGCAAAATTTTATAAGAAAAACACATTTTTTCAAAATTTTTGGACATTTTCATTTACATAGCAAAAAAATTAAAATCCCAGTGATGAATAAATACCACCAAAATAAAGTTTTATCTGTCTCAAAAAATGGTAAAAAATTAATTTGGGTACAGTGTTGCATGACCGCGCAATTGTCATTCAAAGTGTGATGGCGCTGAAAGCTGAAAATTGCCCTGGTCAGGAAGGGGGGGGGAGGGGGAAGTGTCCAGACTGGAAGGGGGGGAAAGTGTCCAGACTGGAAGGGGGTGAAAGTGTCCGGACTGGAAGGGGGGGAAAGTGTCTGGACTGGAAGGGGGGGAAAGTGTCCGGACTGGAAGGGGGAGAAAGTGTCCGGACTGGAAGGGAGGGGGGGAAAGTGTCCGGACTGGAAGGGGGGGAAAGTGTCCGGACTGGAAGGGGGGGAAAGTGTCCGGACTGGAAGGGGTGAAAGTGTCCGGACTGGAAGGGGGGGGAAGTGTCCGGACTGGAAGGGGGTGAAAGTGTCCGGACTGGAAGGGGGTGAGGTCCGGAGGGGAAAAAGTGTCCGGACTGGAAGGGGGGAAAGTGTCCGGACTGGGGGGTGAAAGTGTCTGGACTGGAAGGGGGGGGGGGAAGTGTCCGGACTGGAAGGGGGGGGGACTGGAAGGGGGTGAAAGTGTCCGGGGGGGGAAGTGTCTGGAAGGGGGTGAACTGGAAGTGTCCGGACTGGAAGGGGGTGAAAGTGTCCGGACTGGAAGTGGGGGGGGGAAGTGTCCGGACAGGAAGTGGTTGAAAGTGTGGCCAGTTCTGGGGGGGGGGGGGGGGGGGGGGGAAGTGTCCGGACAGCCAGTGCCTGGGGTGTGCAGAATCCCATATGATCGGATCTGATACTGCAATAGTCCCGCTATAAATCGCTGATTGCCGCCATTACTAGTAAAACTAAAAAAAAATAAAAAAATTCCCAGTATACATACCGCCATTTGTAAAAGCTATACATTTCACGTAAACCAATTAATTTACACGTATTGGGATTTTTTTTTAGCAAAGACATGTACCAGAATACATTTTGGCCTAAATTTATGATGAAATTTGATGTTTAAAATTTTTTTACTGCACATGTTTAACAGCAAAAGGTCAAAAATATTGTTTTTTTCTCAAAATTGTCTGTTTTTTTTTATAGCACAAAAAAAAAATGCACGTCAAATACCACCGAAAGAAAGCTCTATTCGTGGGAAAAAAAGGACGGATATTTCATTTGGGTGCAGCGTTGCATGACTGTGCAACTGTCAGTTAAAGTAACGCAGTGCCGTAATGCAAAAAACGGCCTGGTCAGGAAGGGGGGTAAATCCTCTGGAGAGCATGTGGTTAAGGATGTAGTGTGAAGGGGTAATTTCTGCATTTCTGTGCTTTTTAACCTTGGTTACTAGCATCAGTGAAACATGGTTACAATTCTGTCACTTCCCAACTAAGTTGGTGCCATTTGAGACAACAATATCTGTAGCTCTGTAATTTTTGCAGGGGAGAGGACTAGAGCACGGCAGCACAGCTGCATAGAACAGTTTATCTGTACTACATGTAACTTGACCTGTGCCTGAGTATTATCTTTATTTTGGTCTTTTGGGTGGTCTGTGATGCTTTTTTCCTTCCATGGAAAAATAAATGTCAGCGTGAATCTTGCTCTTTGGTTGTGAGGGAATAATATGTGGAATGGAATGTGAGAAATCTTTGTAATGTATTTCTAACGGAAATATATCTTATTCATATTTTTAGAAAAACTCATTTATTGATATGTTATATATACAGCACATATCAGGTGTATCAGTGCTGAATTCATGTAGCAATATTTTCTTAAAGGATTAAAATGTATAACATTTCTTGAAGAGGAACACTAATAACAGGAAACCTGTACTGGTATAATATGTGGGCTGCCATATGTGAACGTCAGCTTCTGGAAGACGATTGCATTTCTATTTGTGATAGAAAAATGGTAAATCTAGCACTAGAATTGTAAGCAGGAGTTCTCAGCTAGATTACCAACAAAAAGGGATAAACCTGAAGTGGATTATTGCCCTATACCAGGGGTGGGCAAACTTTTTGACTTGAGGGCTGCAATGGGTTCATATATTGGACCCGGGGGCCGGACTAGCTGCTGGCCGGCCCAGCCACTACCATGCCATCCATAGTAAGTATAGTAATATTCCCCCATAGTAAGCATAGTAATTAATCCCCCATATAGTAATTCATCCCCCCTATAGTAATTCATCCCCCCTATAGTAATTCATCCCCCATAGTAATTCATCCCCCATATAGTAATTCATCCCCCATATAGTAATTCATCCCCCATATAGTAATTCATCCCCCATATAGTAATTCATCCCCCTATAGTAATTCATCCCCCATAGTAATTCATCCCCCATATAGTAATTCATCCCCCATATAGTAATTCATCCCCCCTATAGTAATTCATCCCCCATATAGTAATTCATCCCCATATAGTAATTCATCCCCCATATAGTAATTCATCCCCCATATAGTAATTCATCCCCCTATAGTAATTCATCCCCCATAGTAATTCATCCCCCATATAGTAATTCATCCCCCCCTATAGTAATTCATCCCCCATATAGTAATTCATCCCCCCTATAGTAATTCATCCCCCATATAGTAATTCATCCCCCATAGTAATTAATCCCCCTATAGTAATTCATCCCCCATATAGTAATTCATCCCCCATATAGTAATTCATCCCCCATAGTAATTCATCCCCCATATAGTAATTCATCCCCCCTATAGTAATTCATCCCCCATATAGTAATTCATCCCCCCTATAGTAATTCATCCCCCCTATAGTAATTCATCCCCCATAGTAATTCATTCCCCATAGTAATTCATCCCCCATAGTAATTCATCCCCCATATAGTAATCCATCCCCCATAGTAATTCATCTCCCATATAGTAATTCATCCCCCATATAGTAATTCATCCCCCATAGTAATTCATCCCCCATATAGTAATTCATCCCCCATAGTAATTCATCCCCCATATAGTAATTAATCCCCCTATAGTAATTCATCCCCCATATAGTAATTCATCCCCCATAGTAATTCATCCCCCATATAGTAATTCATCCCCCCTATAGTAATTCATCCCCCATATAGTAATTCATCCCCCCTATAGTAATTCATCCCCCCTATAGTAATTCATCCCCCATATAGTAATTCATCCCCCATAGTAATTCATCCCCCATATAGTAATTCATCCCCCATAGTAATTCATCCCCCATATAGTAATTCATCCCCCATAGTAATTCATCCCCCATATAGTAATTCATCCCCCCTATAGTAATTCATCCCCCCTATAGTAATTCATCCCCCATATAGTAATTCATCCCCCATAGTAATTCATCCCCCATATAGTAATCCATCCCCCATAGTAAATTCATCTCCCATATAGTAATTCATCCCCCATATAGTAATTCATCCCCCATAGTAATTAATTCCCCCATATAGTAATTCATCCCCCATATAGTAATTCATCCCCCCTATAGTAATTCATCCCCCATAGTAATTCATCCCCCCTATAGTAATTCATTCCCCATATTGTGTCAATTCACTTACCTTTGCTCCGTGCGTTCCTCTCGCCGTGTTCCCGCGCCGTTCCGGTCTTCAGGGCGGACTGTGAGAGGAGAGGAGTTCGTCACGCTGCCCCGCCTACATCCTGACAGCCAATGTTTGCCACGCTCCGCGGGCTGGATTAAAAGGTCCGCCGGGCCGTAGTTTGCCCATTGCTGCCCTATACAAATGCCTATAGAAAAAATGAAGCCCTGAGAAAGGAAGCTGCACTCTCTGTATGCATTTCAGTGTTTATTTTCAGTGTAGTTTTAGGTTTCCCCCGGCTATAGATATAATTTTCATGTCACATGTAGGGACGATCGAATCTGCCCATGTTCATTTTCAAGCGGCTGAAATGCTTGAAATCTGTGAAACCTAAACTTAGAACTTACCAGTGAACTTCACTGTAGTCTACGGTGGAGCAAATTGATGCTGAATTATGGCCATTCTAGCTATTTTCAAGGCTAATAGACAGCCTAATGCCAAAAAAACATGAGGATTTGGGCACTGCCATGGGAAATATTAAACAAAGTAAAAAATAATTATCATAAAAAACACTGTAGAGCGAGGAGAAGGTCCTTTTAATGCAGCTTACGGAGAGGAGAAAAACAATCATTTGAATTGCATGCTTAGGAACAGTGCGATTCACAATGTTTATATGTCATTTATTTATTAGCTTTCACATGTAGCTTGCTTTAAATGCAGCAGCACCCCAATTTGCTTAATTTCAATTTGAAAAAACTGAATTGTGAGAGTAGCAGATATAACAGATCTAAGAGCTGCTGTTACGTTTATACTTAAAGAAATGAAGCTAAACAAGGGGTGGGGAAACTTTTTGACTTGAGGGCCACAATGGGTTCATATATTGGACCCGGGGGCCGGACCAAGAGTAGATGAATGATGTGTATGTGTCATCCATAGTAAGTATAGTAATATTCCCCCATAGTAAGCATAGTAATTCATCCCCCATATAGTAATTCATCCCCCATATAGTAATTCATCCCCCATAGTAATTCATCCCCCATATAGTAATTCATCCCCCATATAGTAATTCATCCCCCATAGTAATTAATCATCCCCCCCATATAGTAATTCATCCCCCATAGTATTCATCCCCCATATAGTAAATTCATCCCCCATATAGTAATTCATCCCCCCCCATAGTAATTCATCCCCCATAGTAATTCATCCCCCATAGTATAGTAATTCATCCCCCATATAGTAATTCATCCCCCATATAGTAATTCATCCCCCCATATAGTAATTCATCCCCCCTATAGTAATTCATCCCCCATATAGTAATTCATCCCCCCTATAGTAATTCATCCCCCCTATAGTAATTCATCCCCCCTATAGTAATTCATCCCCCCCATAGTAATTCATCCCCCATATAGTAATTCATCCCCCATATAGTAATTCATCCCCCATATAGTATTTCATCCCCCATATAGTAATTCATCCCCCATATAGTATTTCATCCCCCATATAGTAATTCATCCCCCATATAGTAATTCATCCCCCATATAGTAATTCATCCCCCCTATAGTAATTCATCCCCCATATAGTAATTACTTCCCCCCTATAGTAATTCATCCCCCATAGTACTATTCCCCCCCAAGTAGTAAGCCAAGTCCCCCCTGTGTCAATTCACTTACCTTTGCTCCGCACGTTCCTTTCGCCGTGTTCCCGCTCCGTTCCGGTCTTCAGGGCGGACTGTGAGAGGAGCCTAGCTCCCCTCACGTTCGTCACGCTGCCCCGCCTACACACATCCTGACAGCCACATCCGCGGGCCGGATTAAAAGGTCCGCCGGGCCGTAGTTTGCCCATTGCTGAGCTAAACCCTCAACTTTGTACACATTTGCCAGTGACACAACAGTATAAAAATATAGTTTGTGGCCTCATTTCGGAGTAACACGCTGCTTTGTTTTAAAAGTTTAATAAAAATGTCAAAACAGAGATCACACACACACTTCAAATGCACAACCCCCCATTCTTTGAATCCCCTCCCACCCCCGTAACACCAAACATTCCCAAAATATTCAGAATATAGACTTCATGTCTTGAATTGGAAGTCCGCTCCCACTAGGGGAATGGTGGCTGACCAGGGACTTGTAGTTGGGCAGAGAGGCTGGCATACCCCCCTTGACTAGTGATAGTGAGAAGCCTGAAAAGGGCCAAGGCACAGAGT